GAACTAGTAATTCCTGTGTGACGGGTCAGAGTGTCTCTGGGTCACACGAAACTGCACTTTCGAAGTATACTGTATTTTAACACTGTTACAGTTGTTCACAGTTGGACCATGACTAGCGCGTGTGTAAGGAAAAAGTGTTCTCTTTTTGTATCAACCTTTTTTTGCGCCTTCAATGTGTCTTAACCTTTTCTTATCCATCTTTCTATCTTTTTCTTCCCCCTCCCCCCCGCTCTCTCTTTCTTTCTCTCCCCTAACCCCACCTCTCTCTCGCTCGCTCTCTTTCTCTTTCCTCCCTCTCCTTCCTTCCTTCCTTCCTTCCTTCCTTCCTTCCTTCCTTCCTTCCTTCCTTCCTTCCTTCCTTCCTTCCTTCCTCCCTCCCTCCCTACCTCCTTCCTTCCTCCCTCCCTCCCTACTCCCTCCCTTCCTTCCTTCCTTCCTTCCTTCCCTACATGTGGTTAAGAGAAATTCAGTAAAATGTGGTTTCTTTTGACTAAGAAAAGAAAGAGGAAATAGGCAGTGGTAACCTGCATTATAACTTCCTTTGTGAGGAAACAAACATAAATTATACAAGAAGGTTTTCAAACTCTCTCTTTACCTTGTTCACGGTATATATATATTTTTTTCTCTCATTTTTTTTCCTCTTTTTTGTGGAAGTCAAGGGAAGTATTTAAGTCATTTCTTACCAATTATAGTCTTTATCTCTCTTTTTCTTGCTCTCTATTTGTCTTTATTCTGTTCTTACAAAGGAAATGCCAGATATATACACTGTGACTCAGGATACAAGAGTTCCTTCTTAAACTATTTCCTTTTTTTTTGTTCATTTTTTTCTCTTCGTTGGCACTTTCTTTGTATGTTCCGGCCTCGTATATAAGAAACAAGGTCTCTTTTTCATTATCTTTTTTTTCTCGAAAGCACTGATAATGGTGTTGCTTTATGAGCACAAGGTGGATAAGGCTCCAGGAAATAGCAAAAATATTTTAATTGTCCATTTCTCTATCTACGTGATATGTGTCAGCTATCGTTTACCTGTTTGTTTATCTGTATCTATATATGTATCTCCATTTATATTTATCAATCTTTAGCTATCTATCTGCAATTATTTTAGCTACCTGTATCTATATGTACGTCTATATCAGTCTAAATCTATCTCTCAGTCTGTATCTATTTCTATCTATCTGTATTCATGTATCCGTTTACGTCTCTTATCTATTTTTCTTTCTTTCTCTCTACATATCGGCACTGTACGTTCGTGAATTTATATGTGTGAGCGTATGTATGCCATGTACATGTACATCTTTTTCTTAGTGTGTGTGTGTGTGTGCGTGAGTGTGTATGTGTATGTGTGTGTGTGTGTCTACTTACGTTCTTGTGCGTGTGCTTATTTGTTTATGTGTATCCGTGCAGTGTCCTCGTGCGTGTGTGTCTGAAAGTGTTCGCGACAATAAAAAAACAATTGAACACCCTCATCCACGACCCAACACACTGCATGTAACAGGAAGACTTCACCAATCGGCGTGACGTGTGCTATTGGCGAGACCTTGGCCGACGTGAAAAATTGGCTGGACCTTTTGCCAAGTGAACCCGTTGCAGGAGCCCGGTTTACTTCCTGTAACGTGAGGCGTGTGTGTTTGGGAGTGTGTTTGTGTGTGTGTGTGTTTAGGAGGGGTTGTTTGTGTGTTGGGGTGTTGGGGGTGGGGGGTTTTTGTGTGTGTGTGTGTGTGTGTGTTGGGTGGTGTATGTGTGTATGGATGGGGTAGTGTGTGTGTGTGTGTAGGGTAGGGATGTGTGTGTGTTGTGTGTGTGTGTGTGTGTGTGAGAGAGAGAGAGAGAGAGAGAGAGAGAGAGAGAGAGAGAGAGAGAGAGAGAGAGAGAGAGAGAGAGAGAGAGAGAGAGAGAGAGAGAGAGAGAGGAGAGAGAGAGAGAGAGAGAGAGAGAGAGAGTGTTCGTGCTGTTATTTTTTTTTCTCTCAACTCCCAATGGTTTGCGGAACCACAATGCACATTCATTTACGCATTTTATAATAATTAAGAAAGACAATACAAAACAAAAAAGAAGGATCCATTGAACAGAAAGTTGATTGAGTAACAGATTTATTTACTGAGTGAGTCACACTATAATACTGGTGAGCATATACACTTAGAATTAAAACGAAGAACATTACATTTGTACATGGCATACAGAACAAACAAGAGGTAGAAATTACTATGCTAAGTGTGGCGTCGAGGCCGGACTTGTCATGGTCTTGTAACAGTGAATGGTACGAGCCTGGGAGAATGACAGACACCGTGGGCATTGGGCACCGGGGGAGGGCATGGGCATGTCCAGATACGGGGTGTGAGGCTCTTGTTCCTTCGGCAGGGCGGCTGGGTGGCAGGGCACGTCGCCTCCACAGCTGCCAGGGCCGTCTTGACTGGGCGTCCTGCGTCGTATCCTCGTCGCGTCTCGCTGCGGTTCTGTCTGCCGAGGAAGCTGCTGCTGCGGCGATCCGCTGACTTCGCTGTGCTCTCCCCGGGGCGCTGCGCCGTCGCGGGGCCCTCCGAAGGGAGCGTTGTCGTCGTTGTGCTGTCGGGCGTCTCACGTCACCTTCTCGGGCGAGCCGCCGTCGCCTGCGTCCTCGTGAGGGCGTCCTCCCTCGCCGTCGGGTCACGTCAGTTGGGCGTGTGGATGGACTTCCGCAGGAGGTCGATGATGCCCTGGGCGTACGTGGTGGCCGTCTCCCGCGAGAGCTTCTGCGTGTAGTAGTCGAGGGAGTAGCAGAAGCGGCCGCGGAAGGTCTGCAGCGTGTGCTGGCACAGCGTGGCATGGCACACACGACACGGAGCGCAGGACGCGCGACACCTCGACCTCGTCGCCCATGCCGGGGAAGGTGTGGGTCAGGTCGCCCATGTTGGTCACGGTGTAGTGGTTGTCGTTGGTGGAGGGGAGGCCCGCCCAGTCCAGCCACGAGTTGCTGCAGATGATGAGGATGAGGCGCTCGCTGATGGGCTGGATCTTGAGCGGGTGCTGCGTGGTGGTCAGCTGGTACACCAGGCTCGAGTGCACGCCGCGCGAGTACTCCCAGAAGCCGTCCAGGTCGGCGCGCCTCGTGTCGAAGCCCACGTCCAGCATGGAGATGTGGCAGCCGAAGGTGTTGGGCTGCGCGTCCTTGGGCCAGTAGCGCCGCATGTTGATGGCCTGCAGGGAGTTGACGGTCGTCTCGTCCAGCGAGTGGTTCTTGGACGCCATCATCTGGTACAGCGTGAGGTTGGCGGCGGCGGTGAAGGCCGAGTTCAGGGTCACGCCCTCCATCTTGCACCGCCGGAGAAGGTTCCTGGTGGTGAACTCGTCCAGCTCGTGGTGCAGGACCCGCGTGCTCGCTATGTTCTCCGCGGGCATTCTGTAGATGTGTGTGAAGTTCCTGACGTAGGCCCCGTAGCTGAGGATCCCCTTGTAGAAGCGTTTGAGGAAGATGGTGAACAAGTAGCTCTGCGAGGACGCGTCGTCGGCGATCTGGTCGTGAAGGGGCGTGGCGAAGACCCCCTCCTGGCGCATGTCCACTTCGCGCCCCGCCAGCAGGTCGTTCACTACCTGCAGGAACACTTTGCAGAACTTCATGTTGGTCGTCCCGTCGCTCACGTTGTGGTGGAAGCCGAAGAGGCAGACGTACTTGTACTTGAGGTTGTGGTTGTTGTCTCTGACGCACTCGTCCTCGCCCTGGAGGGGGACGAACCTCGTGAACCAGAGGGGGCCCTCCTCCATGCGGTAGCGGCGTCGGAGCAGCGACTCCAGGGTGGCCAGCACGTCGTCGCTGCGCAGCTCCTCGACGTCCACGGCCTCCCTCGGGATCTCGCGCCACCACAGCTTGCCCTTGTGGCGCCCGATCGACATCCGCAGGTGAGGCAGCTTCCTAGAAGGGAAAGATGATAATGATGACATGGGACAGACAGACAGACACAGACAGACTAGTGATCTACTTCAAGTGGGAACACTTTTGTACCAAGCGAGTAACGAGATTACGGGGCTTAGGAGAATCTACATACAAATGAGGGTCTGGGTGATAGTTTTGCAGTCAGAGTCTCGCTCCCAAATCAACATCTTTAACACTACGGAGTTTATAAATATCCACTACAATAGAGTCCATTTATAATGAAATAAAGGCGAAAAGTAGTAAAATACCAGAAGTCGAAAAAAACGGCAAAATTTAGCGTATTTAGCCTTTTGAGAGAAACGTCGAAAAGATGCAGCTCCTGAGACGGGCGGGAGGGTGACCGGCGCGAGCCAAGGTGCAACGACGCCGGTTGCTGGCTGCTTTTTGTGAACTTTTGTAGGGTCAAGAAAGACGGGATGAAGCAAGCAAAGATAAAAGTCTGTCGGAAGCAAAAAGAGCTTGCTGTTCTTGCTTATCATTTCTTCATTAAAAAAATACTTTGAAAATATATATTGAAACGAATTTTTTTCTCTCTTTTTTTGTCACAAATCGAGCAAGACGTTATATTAAAAGCTGTTACTTGTGTATGATGATTTTTGTGCGTGTTCATCATGATCGGATACCGAGACTTTGTCTGCATGACAAAAGTATGACAATCTAAGCATAATGATATAATATTTCCCTCTACATGATACAAAACATGTGCATGATAAAAAGAAATTATCAGTACAAAATTATATCACCAAATAATCTTTATATGAGAGTATTATTCATACATAAGGAAAACCCGCCACCTGTGCACAATAAAATAATGCTAAAAGTAAAAAAGAAAACATTATTTTCATCTTCAAAACCTTTTATCAGTGCATGCTGAAATGCTATTACGAAAAGGATACAAAGAAAGAAAGAGACTGGCCATGCACATGACAAAAACCTGTAGATCATGCATGGTGGAGCTGCCTGTACGTAGTGAAAGTACCCTCCCTGCACATGGTGATCTCTTCCTGCACATGGCGATAAAATGTTGCACATGCATAACCGTAGACGTGCATGATCCAAAAATGTTACCTGTGCATGATGAAAAGCTATTATAAATCATTTTAAAACATCTTCCCTCTTTGCATGAGAATAAAAATGAGTCTCGCAGATGAATGACGAAAACCTGTTACACATGCATGGCGCTGTGCATGTGTTGTTACATGTTCATGCAGAATGAGAACTTGTTCCTGTGATGACAAAGTGTTATATGATGATGACACTTACATGACATATCGTGTTCTAGGTTTATGGTGTGTTACTTGTGCATGACAATAACACATTGGCTATGCATGAAAACAGAGTCAGTCTTGTATAAAGTACAGTGTGTTGCAGAGATGAATTGCAATCTGCATTCCTAATCATCCCTCTCTGCTGTGTGATCCGTGCATGATGATATGTTGCCCGTGCATGGTGTGCATGATCGGACACTTGCTGTTTGGTGTAGTGGAATTACCGCATGCTTTACCTGTGCTTGACTAGGAATATCATCATCTCCTGTGCATGATTGGCAATAAAATCATTTCCTGTGCATGACTAATGATAGTTTGGGAATAGTTTAATCACCTGTGCATGATGGGTAATATGATCATCTCCTGTGCATGAATGGCAATTTTCATTACTTGTGCATGACAAATAATAGATGCTTTACCTGTGATTGATTAGGAATAGCTTCATTACCTGTGCATGATTGGCAATAAAATCATTTCCTGTGCATGACTAATGATAGTTCCATTACCTGTGTATGATTGGGAATAATTCAATTACCTGTGCATGATTGGTAATAAAATCATATCCTGTGCATGACTAATGATAGTTCCATTACCTGTATATGATTAGGAATAATTCAATTACCTGTGCATGACTAATGATTACCTGTACATGATTAGGAATAGTTTCAACTCCTGTGCATTATTAAGAACAATTTCATTCCCCGTGCATGACTGGCGAGTTCCACCACCTGCGCATGACCGCTAATTACTCCCTTACCTGTACATGATGGAGGTGGCCTGCTTGATGACCTGGAAGTCGATGGGGGCGCGGGCGTCCAGCCAGAGGGCGTACACCGTGGTCATGCAGCCGTGGTCATGGGCGGAGGTCATGAACCGCTCGGCGTACCCAGGGCCGCACCCACCTCCCCCTCTCGCCGCGTGGGGGCCCTCGTGTGGGAGGAGGGGGGAGCCGGGCCGTGTGGCGGGGGGGAGGGAGGAGGGGAGGGGAGGGGGTGGGCGGTGCAGGAGGGGGCCTTGTGGGCGAGGAGGGAGGGGGACGGGGAGGGGGGGCCCTCGGCCGTGCCTGCGGAAGAGGGAGAGTGTCATAAAAGAGGGGGGGGGGGGGGATCCGGGGTGCCATGAGAGGGGCAAGAGGGGTGAATGGTGGGGGAGGGGTGCATGAAAGAGGGAGGGGAGGGGTGCATGAGTGCATGAAAAGAGGGAGGGGGAGGGGGTGCATGAAAGGGGGAGGGAGGGGGAGTGAATGGTGGAGGAAGGGGGAGGGATGCATGAAAAGAGGGAGGAGGGGGAGTTGGTGGGGGGAGGGGGAGGGGAGTGAGGCAGGAAAGGGAGAAGGGAGAAGTGCATGAAATAAGAAAGGGGATAATACATGAAAGGTGGAAAATAAAGAATGCACGAAGGGGGGAGGGGGATGAAAGTGCATAAAAGGGGTTAAGTATAAGAAATCCATGAAAGGGAAGGAGGAGATGCATGAAAGAATAAGAGAGAGAAGAGAGAGAAAGCATTAAAGAATGAGAGAAGAGGGAAAAAGCATTAAAGAATGAAGAAGAGGGAGTAAGAATGAGAGAAGAGGGAGAAAGCATTAAAGAATGAGAGAAGAGGGAGAATGCATGAAAGAATAAGAGAGAGAAGAGAGAGAAAGCATTAAAGAATGAGAGAAGAGGGAGAAAGCAAGAAAATAATGCATGAAGGGGGGCGGGGGGGGGGGGACCTGTATCAACCCCGCATTCCACAGAAAATCACAGAACACGTGACTTACCAACAACATAAGTGCCGGCTAATTAAAAACAAAAACTATCATGCACCGTATATTTCATGACAAATAACATATGACAACGTGCAACATACACCAACAAAAAACAAAAGAGAAAAATCGCCATAAAATTTCGTCTCGCGTCAACTTTTCAGTACAAAAAAAGGAAAAATAATCACGTCAAGTCACTCTTCAGTAAAAAAAAAAAAAAAAAAAAAAAAAAGTCACGTCAAGTCACTTTTCAGTCACGTCAGTCAACATCGAAAAGTCATCATCGAAATTGTCAACACCAAGACACGTCAGTCAAAAGTCATCTCAAAAGTCAATCCATGGACTGAAGATAACCAAGTGAAAAAATATAAATGGAAATTTCGTTATAAAAAAAAAAAAAAAAAAAAAAAAAAAAAATCGTATATGCATTTTTTTTCTACTTTCTACTGTCTACTTTTGGGGTTTTCCTTTCAAGATAGATAGATAGACTGAGACATTCAAAGAAGATAGACAAGATAATACTGATATAGCTGTAAAAATATGGGCATAAATATTTTGTATTTGTAGACACACACACACACACACACACACACACACACACACACACACACACACACACACACACACACACACACACACACACACACACATACACACACAAATACATATATACATACATTCAAGGTAACTGCGTGCCAATCCATACACCTTTCTATCTATCTATTTCTATCTATCTATCTGTTTCTCTGCCTATCGAAGTGTACGTACAATAGAAAATACATAGATTTTAAAATCTTGCGTGAATTTATCTGCTCTTCTTCTTATCAAAATATTCATATATCTCTTCTCTCTTATACTTCAGGCTACATCTGTCCATATCCTATCTCTCCATCTATCATATAATGAACCGTATTCATGTTGACATTGTAGAAAAGGTATGAATGAACGAATATCTTCACAATACAAGAGATGTATTTGACCGGTTTTCGATTATATCTTGGTTAGAAATACATGTTACACCATGTAAGAATATATTCGGAACCGGTCAAAATACATCTCTGTATTGTGAAGATATCATATCTCTATCATACCTTTCTATTCTATATATATACATATAACAACACAACACATATACACCCAGATATAATATATATATATATATATATATATATATAATATATATATATATAATATATACCATCTATACATACATCTATACATCTATATATACTATATATAATTAATATATATATGTACTATAACTATATGTATATATGTGCTATATATATATATATATACTACTATATATATATTATACTATTATTATATATAAATGTTGCTGTGTGTGGTGTGTGTGATGTGCTGTGTGTGTGTCGTGTGTGTGTGTGTGTGTGTGCGTGACGTGTGTTTATTTATTCAACTACACACACATACATATATATATATACATATATATACTATATATACATATATACTAATATATATATATATATATATATATATATAATATATGTATATATATACTATAATATGCTAAATATATATAATATATATGCTAATAATAGATATAATATATAATAAGTATATAATGTGTCTGTGCTTGTGTGTGTGTGTGTCGTGTGGTGTGTGTGTGGTGTGTGTGGTGCCGTGTGTGGTATGCTGTGTGTGTGTGTGTGTGTGTGTGTGGTGTGTGTGTGTGTGTGTGTGTGTGTGTGTGTGTGTGTGTGTGTGTGTGTGTGTGGTGTGTGTGTATGCGTGTGTGGGTTTTGTGTGTGGTGCATATACACATAATATATATATATATAATATATATATAATATATATATATATATATATATATATATATCATCATACACACACACACACACACACACACACACACACACACACACACCACACACCACACACTACACTTATATATATATATATATATATATATACCTATATACTATATATAAATCTTACAGCAAGCTATCATTTATGCACAATCCACCTAACCCCACCAAACAAAAACAAAAACAACAAAAACAAGATGGATTCCACACTCCATTTTGTCTTTGTTTCTCCCGACCGCTCATGATGCAAAACGGAAAAAAAAAATAACCCTGAATAATAATCACAAGACATCAACAACCGTATGGTTTCTACGCCTGAGGAGTAAGACGAGTGAAATATTGAGGTCAAGTTTACCTTATACTTTTTCATCTTTGTACTGATAGCCTCATACCTTATACTGGTTAGTTGACCTTATACTTTTATCTTTGTACTGATTACCGCATACCTTATACTGGTTATGTCATAATGCATTCTGATTAATTTCATTGTAATTATCATCTTATATCGCACACTGATTAGCTTGCAGCATTTTATTGATTATTTTTTCCCTTATACTAATTAGCAAATACTTTATATTACGTCTTACTTTATCCCAATACGGATTAACTCGTACCTTATATTAATTTCCATGATATGCGTGAAACTTAACTATTCCCATGAAACGAAATAAAATATTCATTATATTACCAACACTTTGTCCTCAGTCCATGATCATAAAAAGTTTCTCTACATGGCTGAAATTTTACATGACCGTATAAGGGAAAACGATTTTTTTTTATTTATTTGAGTTTTATTTTATCTAATGGCGAGAATATTTGTCACAAACGAAAATAATTCAATTACAGGAGGAATTAAAGTATTCTCGTATATATTTCCAGTCTCCGTTCAGGGAAGCAGCACAAATATAAATGTTTTAATTTTCAAAGCCTTTCATGCTAATGATGAATAAGAGAAGTCATCAGTGAAACATGTAGCACTGTAATGTTGTAGGTCATAATAAAACAATGAAAATTTGTATGTGACGTGAATATAAAGAAATGGTCACACACACACACAAAAAAAAAAATCATGAATTCACATTTTAACCTTTTTTCTTATTTTCCCTATTATCTATTTCTTCTTTTTCTTTCATCCTCCCTTTTCCATCTTTCCTCTCTCTCTCTCTCTCTCTCTCTCTCTCTCTCTCTCTTTCTTTCTCTCTCTCTCTCTCTCTCTCTCTCTCTCTCTCCCTTTATCCCTCTCTCTATATAGTCTCTCTCTCTCCCATGTCTACCACTTCGAGAGAGAGAGAGAGAGAGAGAGAGAGAGAGAGAGAAGAGAGAGAGAGAGAGAGAGCCAGAGAGAGAGAGAGAGAGAGAATGAGCGCCTGTTCCTATGGTATTATAAAACGTTTTTGACATTTTGGAGACGCCCATAAAATTACTTCATCCACACCCTCGAAATACAAACGTTTGTCGTAATAAAGAAAAATAATCAAACGTTTTTTTCTGAATGCAAACGTTTGTCTTAATAAACTAAAAGAAAAAATCGTTCAGTCTTTCTCAAAATACAAAAATTCATTCCATTAAACATATCAAAGCAAAAAGTATTTCTCTTCTTCTCCTCATCTTCTTCTCTTCTCCTCCTCCTCTAATCTCTCTCCTCTCTTTCTCCTTCTCCTCTTCCCCCTCTCTCCTCTCTCTTCCTCTTCCTTCTTCCTCCCCCTTTTCTTCGCCCCTTCTTCCTCTCTCTCCTCCTCTCTCCCCCTTTTCCTCTCCTCCTCCCCTCTTCTTCCTCCTCTTCTCTTTCCTCTCTCTCTTCTCTCCTCTCTCCCTCTCCATTCACGCGTAATCAAAAACCCAAGAACAGGGACAGGAAAAGGCGTCTCGTGACCTCCCGCTCGTTCGGGATTAATATGCGACCTTTGAGGGAGCACGAGTGTAAAAATCTCCAGAGAGAGAGAGAGAGCTTTAGAGGGAGAGCTGTGTTGTGTCGCGGTTGACTCGTGTGTGTGTTTTGTGTTGTGGTTTGTGCTGTGCCTGTGTTGTGAGGTGGTGTGTTTGTGTGTGTGTGTGTGCGTCTGTAGGGGAGGGAGGGAGAGAGGGGGAGGGAGAAAGGGGGAGGGGAGGGACGAAAGGGGAGAGGGGAGGGAAGGGGGGCAGGGAGGCGAGGGAGAGAGAGAAGAGAGAAGAGAGAGAGAGAGAGCGAAGAGAAAGAGAGAGACAGACAGAGAGAGAGAGACAGAGACAGACAGACAGACAGATACACGACAGACACAGACAGACAGACAGACAGACAGACAGGAGACACAACAACACAACAGACAAGAGAGAGATCGTACATGTGCGTGGCTCTCATTACAGTTAGAACACTTCCGGTACAAAAAAAAAACCGTTGTAAAAATTTAAATCTATGGTGAGAGTTAACCTTGTTTGCCGTTTTTTCTCTACCGAAATAATGCCAATCATAAAATGAAACAAAACCATTTATTACTTTAAATTGTTACATTTCATCTTTATGATCGAAACAAATAATGAAAAAGTAAGTGGAATTCAATAGGATAAAAGAAGAAAAAGAAAAAAAAGAGTGATAAAGAAGGAACCAGAAAAGAAAATATAATCAACAGATATAAAATGAAAAAAGGAATAAGAAATAAAACCTGATGAACGGGGAGCAAGAAAAAGAAAGAAAAAAAAAGACCGAGATAAAGAAACAAAAAAAAAAAAAAAAAAATCCACATATATATAACGAAAGAAAGAAAAAAAATGGACGATAATGAAAACAAAATATCCACAAAAATAAACCGAAAGAAGGAAAAGAAAAAAGAAAATAATAATTGAGGACAAAGCAATGAACGAATATATTCCTTTTTTTTTTTTTTTTTTTTTTTTTTTTTTTTGGCAAGGAACCCCAAGACAGGAAGGGGCATCTGCAGGTGTGTGTGCGTGTGTGCGTGTGTGCGTGTGTGTGACGTGAATCCGGACCCGTGTTAGGCAAAAAACACCCTTGCGTCACTTCCGGGTTTGTTCCAACTAATGGTGCTTGGCTCGCTAAAAAAAAAAAAAAAAAAAAAAAAAAAAAAAAAAAATGCTATGGAGATTAGACATTTACTTGACAATCGAGTGTCATTTTTTCTATTTTTTATTTCGTTTATTTTCTTAATTCATAAACAAACAATTTATAAATAAATAAATATTTTTCCTTTTTTCTTTACATTAAGAGAAGTGTGTGTATCATTTCTTTTTTGACAATCGACTTTTTTATTTTTCTATTTATCTATTTATTCATTTATTATTATTATTATTTTTTTTTTTTTACATTAAGGGAAGTGTATATAATCATTTATTTTTTAACCTTCGAGTTTTATCATTTTTATCAATTTTTTATTTATTTTTTTCTAACATGAAAGAACGTCATTACTGTAAAGTGGACAGGTTGACGTCAAAATATGGTCACAGGTAAAGACGTCAAATATGGACAGGTTAATGACGTCAAAATATGGACAGAAATGGACGTCAAAATATGGACAGGGAATGACGTCAAAATATGACAGGTAAAGACGTCAAAATATGGACAGGTAATGACGTCAAAATATGGACAGGAATGACGTCAAAAATATGGACAGGGAATGACGTCAAAATATGGACAGGGAATGACGTCAAAATATGACGTCAAACTCATGGACAGGTAAAGGGACGCAAAATATGGAACAGGTAAAGACGTCAAAATATGGACGGAATGACGTCAAAATACTAGGACAGGTAAAATGACGTCAAAATATGGACAGGAAGACGTCAAAATATGGACAGGTAAAGACGTCAAAATATGGACAGGTAATGACGTCAAAATATGGACAGGTAAAGACGTCAAAATATGGAACAGGTAATGACGTCAAAATATGGACAGGTAAGACGTCAAAATATGGACAAGGTCTAATGACGTCAAAATATGGACACAGACGTCAAAATGACAGGGTCCAAAATATGGACAGTAAATGACGTCAAAATATGGAACAGACGTCAAATATGGACAGGAATGACGTCAAAATATGGACAGGTAAAGACGTCAAAATATGGACAGGTAATGACGTCAAAATATGGACAGGTAAAGACGTCAAAAACTAGGAATGACGTCAAAATATGGACAGGTAATGACGTCAAAATATGGACAAGACGTCAAAATACAGGTAAAGACGTCAAAAATATGGACAGGGAATGACGTCAAAATCATTGGACAGGGAATGACGTCAAAATATGGACAGGGAATTGACGTATAATGGACAGTAATGACGTCAAAATATGGGACAGGGAATGATCAGGAACAGACGTCAAATATGGACAGGTAATGACGTCAAAATATGGACAGGTAAAGACGTCAAAATATGGACAGGGAATGACGTACAAAATATGGACAGGGAATGACGTCAAAATATGGACAGGAAAGACGTCAATGGATAAGGACAGGTAAAGACGTAAGGACGTCAAAAATATGGACAGGTAAAGACGTCAAATAATATGACAGGTAAAATGACGTCAAAATTGGACAGGCTCCGGACGTCAAAATCATGGACAGTAAAGACGTCCAAAATTATGGGACAGGGGAATGACGTTAACAATCATGGACAGGTTAAGACGTCAATATGTACAGGTAATGACGTCAAAATATGGACACGTCGACGTCCAAATATGGACACCGGTAACGGAACATTTCAAAATACTGGAACAGGTAACGACGTCAAAATATGGACAGGTAATGACGTCAAAATATGGACGAATGACGTCAAGAATGGCACAGGTAAAGACTTCAAATTATGGACAGGTAAAGACGTCAAAAATATGGGACAGGTACAATACCTCACGCTACCTCAAAATGTGCCACTGGCACAGGATACAATGACGTCAAACGATACCACATGGACAGGATGACGTCACAAATCATGGGACAGGGAAATGTATGTCGTCAAAATATGGACTAGGGTAAGGACCTTCTCAAATATGGACAGTGGGACAACAATGCACCGTCAAAATCATGGAAGGTAAACGAACCGGCCGTCAATACTGGACACCGCGGGCAAGGATGACCCCGTCACAAGAATCCCGCGCCAATGACAGGTAAAAAGACGATCAAAATTCCAGAGGGACGCACCATGCACCGCGTCAACAATGCGGTCGCGCAGTCACTGGAACAGCCGTAAGACGTACCAATACTCACATTGGACAGGCTTAAAGACGTACCAAAATACCACATGACAGGGTCAATGACCCGTCACAAACAATCATGGACACGGTAAAGACCGTCAAATAAATCTCATGACAGGTAAAGAACGTTCCCAACAATAAATGGAACA